ACTCACAAGAGGTCCTACCACCAGTAATTACGCAAATTATAATTTTGCGGGTTTCATTTTTATTACACGATGTTATTCCTTCACCGTGGAAGTCAATCGTGAACATTTGTTGAGTACGTATTTCATTAGAAAAATTGGTACCCGCCTGCGGGATTCGAACGCCGGTGCATCGCTCAACACGAATGCACCGGACGTCTTATCCGTTAGGCCACGACGACTTCATTAATTATTATACTGTTTTCTCTTTAATTTGTCTAAAGTGTAGTCTTGACGAAATCTGTGATTAAAGAAGTATAATAGTCCTTGACAATAGAATCATAATAGTGTACAAACTTATAATTTCCATAAGTTATAGTCGAATTTCGACTACCAGGGGACCACTGGTAAATTTTAAATAGCTTAAATTTGGGTGACGTGACAAGAAAATTAATATAGAAAATACATAATCGTTTTAACTCATACCATTTATATACTAAATAACTATAAACTGAGACTAACTTCCAAGATTTGTTCATACAAATCATGCACAGACATCCGGCTACAAATTAGGGTTCCCTTTGTTAAGGGTACCAGAGATTGATAAACAAACCTATATATGTTTAAATATATATATTTATAGCTTAGATGAGTGGACGAGCTCACAGTCCACCTAGTGATAAGTGGTTACCGGAGCCCATAGACATCTACGACGTAAATGCCGCCACCCACTTTGAGATGTTAGTTCTAAGGTCTCAGTATAGTTACAACGGCTGCCCCACCCTTCAAACCGAAACGCATTGCTGCTTCACGGCAGAAATAGGCGGGGTGGTGGCACCTACAGGTGGTATATACATATGTAGATAATAAACACACAGACAATGAGCAAAAACTCTGTTCATCACACGAATATTTGCCCGATGTGGAAATCGAACTCACAACTCCACTAGTTAAAACAAAACTCCAAATCTGGTTTTCAGTTTTGAAAATTCCGTATTGTGAACCTTTAAGCCCGAACGAGCCATGAGCTTTTCCGCGAAACTACGACACTACAAATAAATGAGCTTAGAAACATTATTCACTTCTAAATAATTGCACGTACATTTCGAGTTAGCTTTGAAATGGTCCCAGAAGTTTCAGGTCTCTTTGACGTGAAATACACAGAGTTCTTTTGAATAGATATGCCAAAATGCTACATTTTAAATGGAACTACATTACTGGTATACATACATTTTATTTTGGACGTTTTTCTAACGCCTTGCGACACATATTTTTATTGTTAAAAAAAACATAGCGTTGACAGATCCTAATGTAATACAAGCTGAGGTGATGCGAACTCTTGGCTACTGATCACTGGTGGCTGTATCGGAGAAGGGGTTTTTCATATCTGGCGAATATACCGGTTATCGTTCTCATCGAGCCGAGTAAGGCTCAAGGGCTCGAGTAAATTAACCCACGGACACAGCCCACTGAGTTTCTCGCCGGATCTTCTCAGTGGGTCGCGTTTCCGATCCGGTGGTAGATTCTGCGAAGCACTGCTCTTGCTAGGGTCAGTGTTAGCAACTCTCCGGTTGAGCCCCGCGAGCTCACCTACAAACGTTAGGGCGAAGCTGAAATAGCCTCTCAAGGCTATCAGCATAGGTAGGAAAAAAAAAAAATTGCCGCGTCAATCGTATATATAGTATAATTATTCAAAGTAAACATTTGATGGATTCATAGATAGGATTAGCGCCCCTGGTCTTTGACCGAGGGTCAAGGGCTCGATTCCTAAATCGGCCAACCATTGCGTAATGAACAGGTTCGTGCTGTTTGTCTGGATGATTATTATCTGTATATGTATGTATATAAACATATATAAGAATGTTTATCAATCTATGGTACCCATAACAAAGGGAATCCTAAACTGGAAGACCTTGCCGGATGACCGTGCCGAAGTTGTTCCCAGTTATTAGTAATACGCTTATATAGAAAAAATAGAAAATAAATTTTAATAAATTAAAATTAGTGTAAGAGAAAATGATTTTATTGTAAACAAAGCGTGGGGTGCATGGTAAATTTATTAAAATTTATTTTCTGTTTTTTAGTTGGATTTTCTATAAAAGCGTATTTTGTTAGTTTTTTAAATTGTTATTTATTTGTAAAGAGCAGTGAAAAAAATTAAAAATGGATAATAAATGGCAAGATTGCAGGCACAAGATCCCGTACCCGCAATCCAATGCGCCAATCCGACCAAATCCGCACCATTCTGGATACCACAGTCTAAGATGCCATACACATCGCCAAGAACAGAGAAAGATGACGAAACATCATCCGAAGAAGGACAATGGGAGGATATGGTCACGATCCTCAGACACGATAAATGCGACTCAGGGAGGACAGGAGGATCAATAATCACCAATACTGTATGTAATGTAATGTCTGGGTTTTTAGTAGTGTTATATTAAAACCGAAATTTTTCTGTGTCGCTCACTTTTTTTTTTCTGCTTATGCTGATAGCCTTGAGATGTTATTTCAGTTTCGCCCTAAAGTGTGTAGGTGTGCTCACGGGGCTCAAGCCGGAGTGTTGCCGACACTGTCCCTAACAAGAGCAGTGCTTCGCAGAATCTCCCATCGGATCGGAAACGCGACCCACTGAGAAGATCCGGCGAGAAACTCAGTGGCCATGTTTGTTTGTCACATCCATTAAACTTAACTCCGCGACCGGCACTGTCGACACGCGTCCCCCCCGAAAAGTAATTCCGTACGTTTGTCGGGACACGTTTTAGTTGAAAAGAAAATTATGAAAATACATGAACTTCTGGCCGGGAAGCTCGTGCGCGATTTGTATATTAAAAAAAAAAAAAAACTGAGTTTTCGGAATTATTTTATTGGGCGGGCTTTCGAGGCTTTTGATATGCGAAAATTACTTTTACGCGAACGTGGTTCGAAAAGTGACATAATGTGTGATGTGTGTTGTATTTGAGAATTTTAGAAAAGAAATATTTTGAAAGCCCGCCTATATGATTTTTTACTGGTGGTAGGACCTCTTGTGAGTCCGCGCGGGTAGGTACCACCGCCCTGCCTATTTCTGCCGTGATGCAGTAATGCGTTTCGGTCTGAAGGGTAGGGCAGCCGTCGTATACTGAGATCTTAGAACTTAATATATATTAAGGTGGGTGGCGCATTTACGCTGTAGTTATCTATGGGCTCCAGTAACCACTTAACACCAGGTGGGCTGTGAGCTCGTCCACCCATACAAGCAAAAAAAAAAGAGGCTTGAGATTTATGGATATTCGAGAGCACTAGTAGAAATTAAATCAAAATCTCTCAATCAAGATGGTCCTTCGAATCCGAACACATTTTGCGACGGATAACATTGATCACGAAGAGCAGTACCTTAGTAGTCTCTTAGTCAAGAAAAATATTAATGTAACAAATTTTTTATCGCTCTTAAAAGCAGGCGAGCATTTATTTATTTATATTTTACTAGCTGACCTGGCAGACTTCGTAGTGCCTCAAACGATAAATAGAAGACCTAAACTTTTGTATAAAATAAACATAAAACAAACTATATCAAAGGAAAAACAAAATTGATATTTTTATTCAATGCCAAGTATTTTCATATTTATTCACCTTTTAAACCTTCTCTGGACTTCCACAAGTAATTCAAGACCAAAATTAGCCAAATCGGTCCAGCCGTTCTCGAGTTTTAGCGAGACTAACGAACAGCAATTCATTTTTATATATATAGAGATTGCTTAGGTGGGTGGGCAAGCTCACGGCTCTGGTGTTAAATGTTTACCGGAGCCCATAGACATCTACAACGTAAATATACCACCCACCTTGAGACATAAGTTCTAAGGTCTCAAGTTACAACAGCTGCCCCACCCTTCAAACCGAAACGCATTACTGCTTCACGGCAGAAACAGGCAGGGTGGTGGTACCTAACCGTGCGGACTCACGAGGGGAGTATCGGCCCAACTGATTGTGAATGGTTATCGTGAATTTTTAAAGACAATAATTCGTTTCATGTTTATTATATACTTCGAGTCGTGGAGCTCAAAATGCTACACCGCCATTAAATGTCAGAAGTGAAAGGGATATTCTAATAACATAACACGGGTAGAGCTTACATAGTTGCTTAAATATTTGTTTAAAGAGGATACCCATGGCGCTACCCTCGTCAACGCGCGGCGGATATTGTCATAACACGAATTAGTTCGTTTTGAACTGAGACTAGGAACCGTTGCTTTAGAATTGACTGTATTGACCAGATTCGAATAGTTATTCGTAGATCTTGATATGGCTCATACCCGATCCTGTGGACTGAATGGTAAATTAACCCACAGACACAGCTCACTGAGTTTCTCGTCGGATCTTCTCAGTGGGTCGCGTTTCCGATCCGGTGGTAGATTCTGCGAAGCACGGCTCTTGCTAGGGTTTGTGTTAGCAATGTCAGGTTTGAGCCCCGTGAGCTCACCTAGTAGTTAAGGTTACGCTGAAATAGCCCTCAAGGCTATCGGCATAGATAGGGGGAAAAAAGATGGTTCTAGCTCATTCTAACTCTTTTGTCCGTAGATGGTGTAGGATATCCTATAGAAATGCAATTTTGGAATATTTTTATGAAGAGTTAGGTTCGATGCGTATTATCAAGTTTTAAAAAATATGCATAATAATAATATGTATATATGTTTGCAAATAAAATAGAGGTGGATGTATTATACTCATGTATACGCGTATTGCTTTTTTTTGCAAAGTTAATTTTATAAATTTCTTTTTGCTTTATTCAGTTAGTACTCATATGTGATTTCGATGGTGGAAACTTCTTTGGTTTTTGTTTACCTATTTTTACTATATTATATATATTTGTTTTGTACTATTGTTTTTCTAAATAAATAAACGAATAAATAAATCAATCAATAATCTTGGTGAATATATTTGTGATGGTTGAGCACGTGCTAACCCTTACGGGTGGGAGCCATCGTCCTGCATGTGTCTGGCGGGACAAAGCGCGTTCACACGTACAATAAATAAATGAAACTCACCGCGACTTTGTAGTGAAACGCGTCGATTTCGGATTCCCGTCCTGGTTTTCGACGTCTTTTATCTCTTCCTTTGAAACTGAAACAAAAAGAGATAGCACATATAGAACGCAAAAAAAGTGTAAAGCTATCACGGTACAGAAGATGTTTAACAGATGTTTGAATCGCGCACAGTTGTACCGTCAGTATCTATATATTAATACGTGAAGCAGAAACTTTGTACCCCTTTTTACGAAAATTGCGCGGACAGAGGAGTATGAAATTTTCCACACTTATAGAGAATATAGAGAAGAAGTGCACAATGCTAATTTTTTTTTTAAATAATGCATAAAAGATACATTAAATTAATAAAAAAACATTACAAACGCTACCATGTATTTGACACACACACGCATGCATACTATTTGTTTATTGTCAAAATTTTCTTAATGCTTATAATCTGTGGTCAAATTGAGAATAGATTCAATATTGTTTGTCTTTATTAATATTTTCTAAAGCATAAACTTGGCGAAATCTGTGATTATAGAAGTATATTAGTCTTTGACAATAGAATCATAATAATGTTCAAACTTATAATTTCAATTAATTATAGTCGAATTACGACTACCGGGGCTCCACGAGTACTTAGTAATTTCGGTTGCTCCGTGAAAGATCTTCCCTTTGTCGTTTGAGCTTCCAAAATGTGATATATTTTGTGAGAAATTCATTAACGCATTTCTAATAAAAAAAATAAAGTAAATACTTTATCCCAAGCCATCTAAAAATCAATACACTTACCGATATACATATTATAGTGCTTACTACGATTATGAACTATAATGATTTGTTATAGTTACACCAGCTTTTCTTTCGCAGTTTCACCCACCGCATTACACCACCTATTCTTAAGACATATCCTTCGCTACATACGTAGATGTAAAAAAAGTTTTTTTAAATATAACATCATTACAGTTCAGTAATTTTTTCTAAAATATCTGCATATTACACGCACACTTTTCTCGTGTATCGCATGTTCTATATATTATTATGAATCGGAATGGATAGTGTGGTTTAAAGGATATAAGCGGAGCGGAATAATGGTAACAGAGGCATTATAACCAGCGACTTTATTTAATACTATTTATAGAGGAAATGTTAACGTTTGCCTGTATAGATGCTTATTACTCAATCACGAACAAAATACACGGATCCTGATGTGATCGAACACAGATAGTATTTAATCTGTATTAATTGATATTTTGACACACTTTTATTAGCTTCAGACGTATGTATGTTAGTATGTAACGGACTCTTTGAACATGATGTTGACCCACTTCAAAACGTCGGATTAACTCGACATTTGGCGTAGTTATAAAGGACCGATGACAATTTAATATTTAAAAAAAAATTTGAAAAATTTAAAATTCAACTTCAGGAAAATAGAAAATGAATCTTAATAAATTTTAATTAAAAATAGTGTAAGAAAAAATGATTTTATTGTAAAACAAGCGTAGGGGGCATGATATCAATAGTTATAAATATTTTATAAACAGATATGAGTAGAAGGATTATTTTGATAATATCCTAATTTTGGACCGACCAGATCCGCACTACCCTCGACACCACAGCTTACGATGCTCTACACTCGGTGGCAGGTAGAGGCAAATGGCGTGGAATGGTCCGTAATAAACTCTTGTTGCGAGGAGGTGCTCAGGACACTCAGTATTGAGGAAACCGAAGCAAGAAGAAGAAGAATCCTAATTTTCTTTATTCAGTGTGTTTCTCACCGGATCTTCTGAGTCCCAACTCTGATTCGATGGTAGGCTTAGCAAAACACTGCTCTAACTAGAGCCGATGTTAACTAATTGTCACAGACTGAGCTTTGTGAGCTATTCATCCGTCATCGGGTAGTTGGGAGTATACCCACGATACAATTACAATACCAACGATTAGGTCTGAAAAAACATTGTGATTTTTGTATAAATTCTATAGGTTTTTACTGGTGGTAAGACGTCTGGTGAGTCAGCGCGGGTAGGTATCACCACCATACCTATTTCTGCCGTGAAGCAGCAATGCCTTTCGGTTTGAAATGTGGAGCAGCCGTTGTAACTATACTGAGACCTTAGAACTCATATCTCAAGGTGGGTGGAGGTATTTGCGTTGTAGATTTCTATGGGCTCCGGTAGCCTCTCCACCAGGTTGGCTGTGAGCTCGTCCATCCATATACGCAATAAAAATAAAATAAAACTTTAAAATAGGGGTAAATTCATTGAGAATAGAACCTTATATGATTCATATCATGCACACGTCGTGATGTCCGGTGACTCCAACAGCGACTTAACGTCAGATGGGTTGTACGCCCATCTAGCGTAGTAAGCAAAATGGTCGAATTTCTCAATTGTTATGTGTAATAATGGATGTGCTAATCTCAGACAGGAAGAGAATCAACCCGTTTGTCCCTTACAATACGGCCTCCCACACAAACACGACGTTATTGTGCCTTCGTGGAAGTCGTACGTATTAAATTAGACATTACGGAAATACGGCAATACCGAATATATTAGGCATCGGCTGGTTAATATATTGGTCGATGCAAAGATAAAATTTTCTTGGATACCTTGGTTCTTAATTTGGTCCCTTCTGTGTAACCAATCAACACGTGTCCCGTCTCTGTGGGGAGGATTTCAATCACCAGATTATCGCATCTATGTGAGGTAGACACCGGGCTCGATGAGCACCACCGTAGGGTAGGTACCACCGCCGTATTCATTTCTGCCGTGAAGCAGTAATGCGTTTCGGTTTGAAGGGTGGGGCAGCCGTTGTGTTGTGAAAATTGAGACCTTAGAACTTATATCTCTAGGTAAGTAGCGGCATTTACGTTGTAGATGTCTATGCTCCGGTAACCACTTAACACCAGGTGGGCCGTGAGCGCGTCCACCAGCCTAAGCAATAAAAAATAAACCTCACAGGAGAACGGTCGTTGTGACGATTTCTCCAGTACACGAGGAAGAATAGATTTTACACTGCGGCTTAGGTATCGCATGTGACCAGTATCATACGGTCATGACGGTCTTTTCAGCTTCTTCTTCTGTTCTTTGTTCTAGGGTCTTCCCAGTCTAGTGCCTGTGTCTGCTTTCCTAGTTATACTCCTCTGGGTGAGGTTATTGTCCTCCATATCTGCCTTTACCACATACAACCAGCGTTTCTTGGGCCTACCGTGGGATCTTGAACTTTTTTTTTTACTTACCTAATCTGATAGCCTTGAGAGGCTATTTCAGCGTAACCTTAACTAGTAGGTGAGCTCACGGGGCTCAAACCGGAGTGATGCTAACACTGACCCTAGCAAGAGCAGTGCTTCGCAGAATCTACCACCGGATCGGAAACGCGACCCACTGAGAAGATCCGGCGAGAAACTCAGTGGGCTGTGTCTATAGGGATCTTGAACTGTTAACTAAAATGTACTTATATTCTGTATCGTGGAGAAAGCCCGCTACTCACAACCGTCGTTTGGATTATTATAAGCGGTTTGAAATTTAAAACACCAAGTGATGGATGGTAAATCGTATCGTAATTGGAAATGTAATTAAAACCGTATTTGATGGTGGCTAAAATGGAAAATTTTACGCAATTTAACACGTAACTGTTTTCCCCTGCTCTCCCCCTTTTCGAGCACAATCGTGTATTTTCGACAAATTCACGCCGGTCTCCTGCCCGAGGTCTCATTATGAAGTTATGACGTCAGTGTAGGGCGACCACGTAAAAACTTTTGCGGGATTTTTTTTATATTTAACTTTTGAATTCGGGCCACGCTTCGCCGAGTTTATTGCTAAATATTAATTGGAATACAGATGGTGATTTCCATACTTAACCGTTACCTTCAATGCCATAAACTATAGTAATAATTGAACGAATACGCTTCACTTTTAGTCAATTTTTTTCTTAATTCTCGCTGTTGTGTCTGTCAGCCCCTAGGATAAAGTTTAAAGAAATCGGACAAAAATCGCGTCTCCGCAAATAGCTTGAGTAAACAAATTGACAGCTATTTACATATGTACGTTATTCAAGTAGACAAATATTGCAAAACAAAACGTTATTGTTGGCTTACGAAACGTTAATGCTTAGATGGGTGGACGAGCTTACAGCCCACCTGGTGTTAAGTGATTACTACAGCCCATAGACACCTACAACGTAAATGCGCCACCCACCGTGAGATATAAGTTCTGAGGTCTCAATATAGTTACAACGCTTGCCCCGTCTTTCGAACCGAAACCCATACTGCTTCACGGCAGAAATAGGTGGGGCGGTGGTACCTACCCGTGCGGACTCACAAGAGGTCCTACCACCAGTAAGTTGGAAAGCCCTATGCGACCTACTTACCCCTTAGACAACTATGACCAAAAAAATCTAATATTTAACAAAATTTAGCCGTAATGTCTACGTAATATTATGAAACAAGGACACCCTACCCGTTACAGTATAAAGCCGACAGAGCCTAGATATCCAAAATTAACTGGAAAAGCGACCCCTAGAGTGTGATCACGCGCTAACGAGAACAAAACGGTTTACAACGTATGCAAATGTAGTACTTACTACACCTTTATGTTTTTCGACTACAAGAATTATAGTTGGGCTGTGTTAGAAAGAGAGAGAGAGCGAGAGAGCGAGAGAGAGAGAGAGAGATATATATATATAAAGGGGGAGGGAGGAAGAGAGATAGAGAGAGAGAGGGGGGAGAGAGAGAGAGAATATACTTTATTGCACACCAAAACACAATTAACATTAGAAAACAGTCAACAAGCAGATACGTTTGTACAATAGGCGGTCTTATCGCTAAAATCGATTTCTGTTTTAATCACTTAAAGAAATTCGCAGACATTTTAGGTAGGTTTTATTATTTGTTTAGGATGTTTTAGTTAAATGCTAATTTGAACAGATTGAACTTTTTTATTGCTGAATCTAATTGTTGGAAGCTTATGGAGCTTTTTTTGGGCAGGAGGTCGAACCCCATACGAAGTGTCGGTGCTAAGAACATGCAGAGTAAAATTTGACGGTCTGCCAATGTTGGGAGCTGACCGCGGGCCTACGGGTCTATTCCAAGAA